TTGACACTCGTTAAACCAGTGTTTGACGGTCGCCATTGAAGGAGAAGAGTCGCCGTACACAGCATCCAGGCACTCTTTGATTTCGCTGCGCGATTTCCCTTCCAAAAACAAGAATGGAATGACCGACCGATATTGCTCTTTTTCAAGCTTAATAAAATCCGCTAACACGCCCGTTTACACACGCGGTCAAAGTAGAACTACGAGTCCGACTTGGCTGAAATTTTGACAGTAGCCGTGTCCGAGAATGTACTACACGATAGTAAATTTCTCTTGGGATAGGGACGGTGAAGCTAAGCAACTACCGGACCGCCCTCGTATGAATTCGTTTAAGTTGCTGCCTTCCGAGATAATTTTTTGTCGACTTGGAAATTATGGAATTATAGTAATATTATAGAACCCCCAATTAGAAACCTACTCCTGCTCTTTGCTGTAGAAGTAATTTATTGTAGCACCCTAACTGTAATATCAATAAAAAAATAGCTATTTCCGAAGCATTTTATCTGGCTAAGCACACAAATCGCCATAAAAAGGTCAGGTTGGCTCTTCTTTACTAGAAAATTCAGAAGCCCTGTTCGTGCAGCTGTCACCAACCTGTCAGTGACCGAGTCCAAGATCCCGCCACACAAATTCCGTTTGCTCTGCTAGGCTATACTATAGACAGAATTCACATGGACGGATCCCAGACACAGTCAACGACAAGTCACCGATCACTGTACGAACAAACCTAGAGAACTAGAAGTAACAAACCGCTCTTAATTGTTCTAAAATACCACTGATTTCCATAACATCATAAAAGGTAGGTAACCAGGTAGTAACGAAAACAGCCTACCTCCATCATCAGTCAGATGACATTTTTCACTGCTCTGAACAGACGGTTTCTAAAGATTTGTTCGTACAGTTGTCGATTACTTGTCTTTGACTGTAACTGGGATCCGGCCATGTAAATTATGTTATTTATAGCGTAGCAGAATGAACGGCATTTGTGTGGCGGGATCTTGAACACGATCACTGACAGGCTGGCGACTGCTCTATGAAGAGGGCTTAACAGCTTTATAAAATATTTTATGCTTTTTTGTAAAGACTATTTCGGTGTAAACGTGTTGTTGTTCTTCTGGTATGTAAAACACAATGAAAACATGAATAATATTTGAATACATAAGAAACGGGTGCACATCCTTCCTCAGTTGCCTCATCTTGGTCTTTTCAAACAAGTTTCAAATGTTTAATCACCCAAACAGATTAGTAATATTCTCAATTTCGGAAGAATGCAACTTTTGTTACGTCTGTGCAGTGACGGGCACATCATTAATAATACACCATTGTATACGCGTATATAATGATGAATATATACGTCTCGATATTCACGTATACTATGTACACAATGTATACAATAGCAACATTTCTGTTGAATCTGTTTAGGATCAATTCCGGATCGATCCTAATGGTTCTCCGATTTTAGGTGGAACTCAAAGTTCAGAATCGCTACAAATTCTGCAAAATATTTTTATAAACATATTTATAAAAACTGTCACTGGCCGGTATTACCCAGCTTGGCGGGGTAATGCCAGCCGTCTTTACAAACAAAAATCGCAAATAAACTTCTTCTCTTTTGTTGTGCCTGTACATGCTCTATGGGCCCACTGGCCACAAATTACACAACTCAACCAGACTTCATAATCTTTTCCAAATTTTCCGCACAATATACATATATGTCTTCATTGATACCTAAGTCTCTATCATCGTCATTGTCTTCTTCACAGTCTTCTCCCTCAAATTCTTTATAACTGACAGTTTTTTTACGATCTGGTTTTCATGCCAAACAATCTGTTTTTCAGTCTAGTCTCATTTTCTTTTTGAGGTTCGTGTGATGGCTCAACAAATCTAGGCTGTAGGGCTTCTGCAGGAGCAAAGTCTTCACTAGAAAATACGTCGGGGTTAAAGGGAAATAATCCTGTCACTTTAAAGCCTTTAATAGCCATTTCCGGGTTAGCTACACTGCTGAATGCCAGGTTGAATAACTCAGCAATATTTCCAGAATTAATTTTTTCCCCAGGATGATTCGTTAAGAATTTGGAACATTCCGAATTAAAAGCTGCCTTTAAGGGTGCATGGAAGGTCACATCCAAGAGCTGGAGGCGTTGGGATGATTGTGAAGGAGTGGTCAAAACTATAATTCCATTTCCTTTGCAAAAATTGTAAGCTGATAAGGTGCAATGAGTGATATGGTTATCTATAATCAAAAGAACTGGCTCTTCTTTAGAACATTTTATGAATAACTGGAAATGTTTTAGCCACATAATAAATAAGTCTTCTGTGATCGATCCATTTTTTGAGCATCCGTAGATGGCACCTGGAGGACCATTTCGCTGAAGATGTGCTGCCATTCTTTGGCGGGCAAATATAAACATGGACGGAATGTAACTACCCGAAGCATTGAAAGCACACATTGCTGTGGTTGTTTTTCTCCGCTCTCAGCTTGTGACAAAACCAACCCGTTTCTGCCCTCGTTCTGTAAATATTTTAGGTGGACGCTGCACTGTGTTAACGCCAGTTTCGACGCAATTATATATTTTATTAGGTGTAAATTTATATTTTTCCATGACTTCAGATAAATTATTGAAAAAATGGATACCTCTTTGCGATTAAATGCCTTAATTCGGTTCATACTGGTTCCTTCGGGTTTCCTTAACGCAATATTGTATCTAGACGTGAATCCAGCCGCCCAGTCCTTTCCAGCCAATTGTTTTTCTCGATTGAATGGGATATTGATATTGTTGGATTTTGCATACGCATATGCGCATCTTCGCACTTCAATGGGATAGTTAACCCATAGAAATGTTTAGCCAACTTTTTAACTTGGTCGGCCAGTTCACTCTCGGCTTCTTTTGAAAAGACTGGCTTACGTCCTAACGAAGATCCAGAATTAACGGCCTCATTTTTCATTCGGTCTTGTAAGGTGGATTTTGGTACCCCAAATCTTACTGCTGCTTGTCTTATTGACATACCATTTTGGATGGCACGTACTGCTTCTTGCAAATGCTCCTTCTGAACGGAAGATTTTTCTGTTTTTCTTTCATAATGCCGCGGCATCTGCAAATATTAAAAAAAAACTAGTTTAATAGCTTTGAGGTTTTGTGTATATGGATTAATACTGGCCACTGTCGCCATTACCCAGTTACTGTGGCCGGTATAACCCCAAAATGACGTGAACTGTTTTACTTGTGCTGGTATTTTTTTACAACTATAATATATATAATATATATAACATATATATAATATATATATAACAACTATAATATAATATATATAAAATTTTCAGATCCATGAACCTCTCATTTCACAAACCAAAAAAATATCAATGTGGTCTTTGCAAGTGTTACAGAGAAGGATAGGAAGAAGTAAAGGCTAATTTGGAAAAGGAGTACTTGGCCCACATTTTAGAAAAGGAAACGGTAAGAGGAATAAAGAATAGCTGCAAAGAAAAAGCTAAAAATGATACAAAGGCTATATGTGCTACATTTGATCTCCAACAAGTTATATACTTACCAATTTCTAATCATTGTTCCGTATTTTATAAAACACGGCTGTCTACAATCTAACTATGTATGAAGTAGCATCTCGAGAATGTTTCTGTTATACATGGAGTGAGACTGAAAGTAAACGTGGTAGCTCAGAAATATCGACGGCAGTGCTTAAAAGCCAGCTACCAACGAGCGCGCCGCACGGTTATACACGGATATACTCGGAATATGCATTACCCCACTGGCCGTTATTCCCCCGCTTTACCCTACACATCTCTTTTCTGTGTTTGTAAAGATGTCGCAGCATTCAGAATTGTTTTACAAGAAACTATGACAGTGTGAATAAGACAAAACCATGGAATACAAATGAGTTAAAGGAGGAAAGTTAATTTTTATAATTTTGTGAACCTAAATTATAACGTACATAGGCTTGCTCAACAGCAGCATCCATTGTTGCCGGATTTCGTCTGTAAGTACTTGATTAAAAAAATATATTATTCATCCACACTAGAGTTATTTATAGCAACAATACAGGTCCTCGACGCCCGTTTCGTCATCAGGAGTTTATATCAATTCTTATAAACTTATTACAAATAAAAGCTATCCCTGAAAAAGTTTTATTAATACGTGAAGCTGTGCAGTCACTCTCGCTAGAGGGAGGCCAAGGACATTTTAAGTGTTCCTGTAAACCAGCGAAAAGTAGTGTTATCCAACAGATGTGTTTGTGTAAAAAAAACTTCTTTGTAATTCAAGGTGTCATATGAGTTCCTAACATGCGCTGAGAGATATTGTTTGTAATAATATAATATATGAGATAATTCTATGTAACTTTTGTTCGTTTGTTGCTGGTTCTGCATTTTTTTTAAATGTGTATTTATTGTTTTATGTTGCTTTCGATAGTTTCAGTATATTTCTTGTTGATTTAATACATTAAAAAATAATGTCCACAATTATGTAATAATACAGACAACATTTTAATATATTCTTCTTTCCTTTTAGATTAATTCAAGCTTGATTATTTTAGTTTTAATATTTTTGATAAAGTAGTATCTTGTTATATTATGTACTTCATTGGAGCAACATTGTATTGATTACAGCGTTTGACTAAAATACACGATTGCAGTATCGAAGTAAATGTGATTGTTACGGTGTTTGACTGGAATTGTTCAGTCATTACGTGGAATGACTGAAATGCTTAGTCAAACATTGTAGTAATCAAACAGTTACGGTGTTACGGTGCTTGTTACGTATTGTATACATGGGGACGTAGACAGTTAATATATACGGGTAAACGCCCATCACTGCGTCTGTGGTGAAATGACATTTGCAGCCGAGAAGCGAGCCATCCACCCAGTTGCGAGACAGCTCACTTCCATTACTTCGGTGTAAAGACAGGTTACCAAGATGAATCTGGGTCCCACATGCTTATTGTAACTCTTGCTCAGTGAGACTGCGAGAGTGAGGGGGAAGAATTGCGCAATGAAGTTTGCTGTACCCATGGTCTGGTGTGAGCTAACAAATCCTATAGGCGATAGTGACTTTTGCTTGTGCGTGAAAATTGGGGAAGATGATGCCGAAAGAGAAAAAGAAGAAGCAGTTGTTAGTAGAAGGTCTAAGTGAGCCCCATATACTAAGTCAGAAAGAATAAGGTAATCTAATAAGAGATGTTGAGAAGGTGGAGCTTCAAGACTGAATCAATGACATTTACTCCATCCAGTATACAATGAACTGCTGTGTCCCTTAAAAACAAGAGCTCATAAAAAATGCACGGCTATATTCGTGTTTCTCCACTCAAACTTACTAAGATTTGACTTCTTAGAACCAGGAAAAAGAAAGAGATTTTTTTGCTGACCAGTGATAATTGGAACGTAAGCAGATATGTAAGAGGAATGAGGTTTTTTAGTTCTTACAAAAATTTGCAACCAAATGAATACTTGATCTGATTTTAAGCTATCAAAACCACATTCCCGTCAAAGTTTCGATACGCTCACCAATACATCTCACGACCAATGAGTGTTCAGCTAACGTTTTCGCCACTTTGTCGCTATAGAGTCACAAAGCTGAAGCAATAGAAGTACTTTTTCGGGTGGCTCTAGAAAAATGTTTCTTCTATGAAAATTAGTGGACTGGCCAATCGAAAGATTCACAAACAATTTGTATAACCTACTCAAATGTTTTTCTCTGGGGCGTTCTCATTAGAGTTTATTTAACTGGTCTATATGTGTTGATGTTGGTCTGATGGAGCTGGCCTCTGGCTGCAGCAACAAACACAAAATTCGGCATTCAATTATGGAATAACCTGGACGCCTGACCGGCACGGCTCACCGTTGGCCAACCAACGCTGCTGGGACTCGGGACTACGTACAGTAAACGCGCCCGATCGATTACTGTTCACCATTAAATATTAAACTGGCAAGACAGATATGGACTCAGAAAACTGCCTGATAGTGTGAATAATATCAAATGAGAATAAGAAGAAGTAAAGTAAATTTTCTTGCTAACACAACTAGACCAACAATCTTAAGAAGGCTTATAGTTAGGATAAAGCGAGATCACTTCTGCCGATGTGTACTTAATAAATTGAGAGAGCATTGGATACATTCAAAATCCTAGTTAATGGAATACGGTATGGAAGAATGAGTGTTTAGAAGTTACTTGGCACCTTTCTATAATAAAGCCTATGGCTGAATATTACTCTACAGAGATGTACTTTGGAAACAGGGATTACTAATATATACATATATATATATATATATATATATATATATATATTATATATATATATATATAGATTATATATATATATATATATATATATATATAGATTATATATATACGTATATATATATATATATATATATAATTTGAAATTTTTTACGCCAAAACCGTGCAGGTAGAAACCTAAATGCTACTATGAGGAGCTTAAAGAAACTTTATTAATACGATTATTGTACTGCCTAAGGACAGTGGAACTGGAAAAAGCTCCCTTATGTAGGTTGTTCCACAATCCTCGATATCCTAGGGTCCGAGTGCGTATCAACCAATTCTGTATGTACGAAGTTGGATACGGTTAGGATGGGAGGCTAAAGCCAAGCGGGTCTGGGAAGCAGAGCCCGTTGGCGTAGCGGTAGAAGAGAGTTAGATCGCCGGCGGCCCGCCGGTGCAAAAGGGTCCCGTGACAGTCCGTTAGAGAAGAGTTATCGGTCAGTGCGTCAGTCCTCCTCTGAACAGCATCGAGCATGGATAATGTAGACATGGCGGCAGCACACCAAACATGTGAGCAGTATTCGATGCTAGGTTTTATCTGGCTCTTATACGGAGTGAGGAGGTCAGGTGGTGAAAAGTACTCCTTGGCACTAAACAAATGAAGTCGCTTTTTTCTAGATGCTGACGGTATTGCCGAGATATGTTCGTGCCAGATCAAGTCGTCGGTGATCTGGACACCAGCCAACCGAAATGAACGGTTTTTTTGTCTACGGCCATCTATCGATACCGAATGAGCGCTAGGACGCTTCTTGTTCGTCGAGGCAGAGTACTATGTTTTGAAGCATCAAGCTGTACCAGATTATAGCATCCCCAAGCAGTGATGACATCTAGGTCTTTCATCAGAGAGGAAGCCGCTGTTAGTCTTGTTTTCTCCTGTTCATCGTCAGAGATCGGCTTGTCACTCTGGATCCATGGAGCGCTTTCATGATTTGAAGAGCCTCGCCATAAGACTGGACAAGTTTACTCCACAGTTGCGGGACGTAAAAACCATACTGTCTTTCGCTGAGCAAACCGTGACGTTCGTAATACTCCTGATGATCCAAATTTTTGCACCTCTCCATCACCTTAATTGTAACAGAAAACGGAGCTGTAAGCCTGTGGTTCCAGTTTTCTGCGGTCCCAGAAAAAAGACTCGCAGACACTTTATGAGAAGTGGCTCACGCCTTTTTTTCTAATTTAGTATGGCTTTCATACGAATAGATGTATTTCCGTTCTTATCATCATCCCCTCTGTCCGGTTCAGCAACATTTAATTGCAGTTCTGTCACATGACAGGGTAACCATGCTTGATTGGATGGAGTGTTGCTCCAACACATCAACTTTTTTCCAAAAACTGTTCAGAATTGTCCTGTAAAAGTTTCAAAAGGACTATACAGGGTGTTCGACTGATGACAAGGAAAGCAAGGTTGCCTATCCGATAGATACCTTTAGTTTTTTGCATAATTGGATATGCTGAGGTGGTTCTGAACCATTTCATGAAGCTGTTGACATAATAATTATGTAATTTGTTTAAAAAACGATAAGTATGGCAACCAGTACAGGGATCTTTGCGTATTGAATTTTATCTAAGAAGATACTTTGCACTACTTCTGTTGTTCTCACTTACTGGACATATTTACCCAAAAAATCTCATTAATTTTCATTTAGTGTAAAAGGTGAACGCCGGTCCTGACATACAGGTCTAACAAAAGCGTATGTTGGCTGTTTTGAAACTGCACGAATATCGTAGTAGCTAGAGGCCATACAAGGCTGACATCACTCTCAAACGCATCCAATAATTAACGAAATAATTATAAAGCCTAGTTTGTTGGAATTTCTCTATCCTCTTCCACTGTATTTTTATAGAGCCAGTATTAAACCGGTACTTTGCTGATGTACATTTTTTTTAATTTAAACTGACGATGAAGATTTAACGTCCGAAAGGTTTATGCCAATTTCAGCGTTGTCGGTTTACATTTCCGCTCAACGATTGTTTAATAAAATACTTAATGATTATTATATAAAACGCACTCTTTGTATAGTAATGCTATTGTCCGATATTTATTTTTTCAGGTAGCTTCCGCCATTCTTATAGTTAATAAAGTATTTAGTAGTTCAAAATCCAACAATACGTAATAAAAAATAGTTTGGTGTAAAGTTTAACTATAAATCATTCGTGTTTCTCTATGAAATCTCAAGCATTTGGGAAACTCAGTATTTTACTGCCAGTTTACCACAGCTGCGTGTTATTTAGAGTGGGTCAATTTACACACAGATAGGTGGAAATTGAAACAGCCTGGAGTTCAATCTTTATGGAAAAATATCTCTACATATACTTCAATATCAATAAAATGTACTAGGTTCTTTCCACTCACCCGTATTACGTAAGACAAAAAAATTACATTATATCTATTTCTTATAACATTATGTAGGTTATTTTGACATTATGTAGGTTTTCCTATAAAATATCACTTGAACTTCTGTTTGGGTGTTCCAAGGTGAAGAAAAGCCAACAAAAGTCATCCGTTCTCAAAGTGTTTCGAAAAGGATGGTCGCGACATTTGTGTCAAAAGCGGGTCATAATGCAACAATTCCTCTTAATCAGCAAAGAACTGTTATTGTGGATTGGTATACCACCATTTGTTTACCAAAAGTCATCACCGAGCTTCGAAAAATCAACCCCGAAAGAAGAATCATCCTCCACCAAGACAATGCAAGCTCGCACACAGCCCAAAAAACGAGGCAGTATTTAACGGAAGAAAACGTGGAATTATTAGACCATCCTCCATATAGTCCCGATGTAAGTCCTAACGATTTCTTTACTTTCCCGAAAATTAAAAACAGACTGCGTGGTCAAAGGTTCCAGTCTCCAGAAGAAGCAGTTGACGCATTCAAAAATGCCGTTTTGGATCTGTCAGCAAACGAGTGGAATAAGTGATTCGAAAATTGGTTCGAGCGCATGCAGATGTGTATTAATCTTCGTGGATAATACTTCGAAAAACAATAAAGTCGTTTAAAACTACCTACCGTGTTGTTTCATGTCCATATGCAAAACTTAAAAAACATCCCTCGTATTAGAGCTACCCTATACTCTGCCCAGATGTAGTAGAAGCCTCGCTTTATTCTGAACAGGTGCTGTTTTAGGCCATAGTTTCTGTCACATCTGTAAATGAAAAATTCCTGAATTTACTAGTTTTTCCGAATATACAGGGTGATCTAAATAAATGTGCCAATTCCTTATTATCACATATCTCAGGCACAATTGAATCGATCTTGTTGAAATTTTGCACGATAACGAAGCTAGTAGGAGTAGCGTAAAATTAGACGGACAGTTGAAAACCCTAGGGCTATTCATTTTTTCTCACTTTTTTGCTTTTTATCACATCATCACATTTCAAGCTAAGTATTGAAATGTTTGACAATGTACAAAAAAAGTTAAATTGTGCTAATTAATTAGCAAAATAGATCGATTGCCCACCTATTGGTTTTTTCATTTAAAGTTTTTTATTTATTCAAGAATCTCATTTTATGAGACAAAACTTGAAATCTAAAGAATTATCAACCCACCTGCTTCCATCAACATTCTACAAAATGTTGCTTAAAATTGAACTAAAAATGTTTTGGGAACGGATTCAGTCGGATTTCAGTCATAATCTGAATTTATTATTAGTTCGAGGAAAAAGCAAATGTAGTATACAGGGACGGACTTTAATCATGTGATATATCATGTATGCACTATATATAATGAAAATTAACGTAGTGATGTGGTAAACGTATCTATTCTGAAAATGCTGAGTTCGGAGCTGTATATTAGATTTTTCTACATTTTCATCACAATCCTGATTTTCTCTGGAG